AGATGAAATACAGTTTTGTGGGGTTATGGTGAGGAAGTCCAAGCTGAAGCTGCAACAGAACCTGGTAAGGAACTTGAAGATAGCTTTTTACAAGCATGTGAAGCAGGAAAGGAAAGTCAAAGAAGGTGACCCTCTCTGGTAAACAAGGGTGAAAAACTGGAAGCAGCAGATGAGGAGAAAGCAGAAGTATTCAACAATTTTTTGCCTCAATGTTCAATGACAACCACTGTTTCCACACCTCTCAATTGGATGGATGGCAGGATGGGGAGTAGGGGAGCAGAGTCCCTTTCACTCTCCATGATATTTGAGAAGTCCTGACAGTCAGGTGAAATCTCAGGTGACTGAAAATAAGGAAAATGTGTGCCTGTCTTTAAAAAAGGTCGAAAGGAGAACTCTGAGAACTACTGGAAACAGATACTCTTAGAAGCTCTGTTAAGGCATCTGGAAGACAGCTAGCATGGCTTCATCAAGTCCTGCTTGACCAATCAAGTGGCCTGCTATGATGGAGTGACTGTGACAGTGGGAAAGGGAAGGGCTACAGATGTCATTTATCTGGATTTCTGTACAGCCTTTAACACAGTACACCACAACATCCTTCCCTCTAAAATTAGAGAGAGGGGGATTTGATAAGTGGACTGCTAGACGAATAAGAATGGATGGTGATGTCCAGAGGGTAGTGGTCAAGAGCTCAGAGTCACAAGAGACATCAAGGAAAAGTGAGTAAAAATGAAAGAGAGTAGGTTTAGATTAGATGTTAGGAAGAAATTTTTCTGTGTGAGGGTGGTGAGGTAAGGGACGGGTTTGCCCAGAGACATTGTGAACGCCTACCCCTAGAAGGCACCTCTGTCCATAGTAGAGTAGTTGGAACTCAATGACCTCTATAGTCCTTTCCTACCCAAAACCTTTTATGATTCCATGATTTGTTTTCAATTTTCAGGTTTACCTATATTTACCTATATTTATCTTTGTGTAATCCCAGGAAACTGCTGTAGATAAAGCTGAAAAAGAAGTTACTGTTCTTATAATTATTTCCACCTCTTCATTACTTAGGAAATTAAGTAAGAATACCCATCTCTTCCCATCCTGAATAAACACTTATTTTGAGTCAGAATTTCTGTGTTTTTGTGCATAGGAAAGAAAATGTTGGATCTAGTGGCTAAAATAGCCATGAGATATAATTTTTTTCAATATCCCAGTTCATGTTATGTGGATCCTAGCTGCTTTTCTGGAAAGACACTGATCTTCTTTAGATCGTGTGATACATCTGTCCATGCAGACACAGTTTGCTTTTAAAAGTACCCTGACAGTAATTCCCAGAGAGGACAAAAGCATTTAACATGCTGAAAAGACTAAATATAGTTACAGTTGCTGTTCACTAGCCCATCCAAAAGTGGTGGTGACTTCCTTCAAAATTCTGTGAAGAAAAAAGAATCAAAGAATCTCATTATCTTTTGAATAAACTATTTTGAATTCTCCAGTTTCCCAGTGAGATATGAAGTAACATTGTACTACACACTCCACAAATCACTCTCATATCAGGTCTACTCTCCTGACAATCTCACTGTTTTGATGGTGTGTTGTCCTTACACATGGACACAAATACCACAAGGGTTTAATTTATTGAGAAAAAACCAGATTAATTATCTTGTATTATAGAGCTAAGCCATGGAAGAGTCGCTAAGACCTATGGAAAGTGACACTGGATTTGCCTTTTAATCAAGACACGTTTATTTTTCTGACAATTAGCTCAGGAGCCTGAACTGTCAGTCACATCAACATAATGAGAATACACTACGCTATTTTCACATATTTATGTGAAATAGTTAAATGCATTTTGATTTGAAACACATTTGACTCAAAACAGCCAGCCTGGCTTCATGAAGAGCAAGCCCTCACTGACCAATCCTGTGGCTGATGGGGTGACTGTATCAGTGGACAAGGGAAGGAGTACAGATGCCATTTATCTGGACATTTGTAAAGCCTTTGACATGGACCCCCACAACATCTTTCTCTCTAAAATTGGAGAGAGGTGGATTCAATGTCTGCACTGTTAGATGGATAGGAAATTGTTTGGATAGTGGCATCCAGAGGGTAGTGGTCAATGGCTCAGAGTCCCAATGGATATTAGGGACAAGTGATGTCCTTCAAGGGTGCATACTGGGACCAGTGATATTTAATTTCTTCATTAATGACACGAACAGAGGGATCCAGTGCGCTGCCAGCAAATTCGCAGATGACACCAAGATCAATTGATGCAGTTGACACACCTGAAGGGTGGGATGGCATCCAGAAGGACCTGGGCAAGCTTGAATAGTCAATCCATGGAAATCTCATGAGGAAATCTCATAAGATCAAGTGCAAGGTGCCACACCTGGGTCAGGACAACCCCCGGGTGCCAGCACAGGCTGGGGATGAACAGATCAGAGCCCCCCTGCCCAGAAGGGCTTGGGGTGGTGGTGGCTGAGAGGCTGGACATGCCCCAACCATGGGCACTGCCAGCCCAGAGAGCCACATGTGTCCTGGGCTGCTTCCAGATCAGGGTGGGCAGCAGGGCAGGGAGGGGATTCTGCCCCTCTGCTCTGCTCTGCTCAGACCCCACCTGCGGGGCTGCATCAGCTCTGGGGGCACAGCACAGGAAGGACATGGAAGGACATGTTGGAGTGAGTCCAAAGGTCACCAAGACCATTATAGGCCTGGAGCACCTCTCCTATAAAGAAAGGCTGAGAGAAATGGAATTGTTCAGTATGGACAACAGAAGTTGACCAGGTGACCTAATGGCAGCCTTCCCATGCCTGAAAAGAGCCTTCAAGGAAGCCAGAAAGAGAATTTTTTACAAGGGCATGTAGTGACAGGAAGGTGGAAGGTGTGTTTGAAGGCTTCAAACTCACAGTTTGAAAAATTGTAGGTTGAGTATAGAAATTAGGAAGAAATTCTTCCCTGTAAGAGAGGTGAAGTAGAGGAAGAGGTTGTCTAGAGAAGTTTTGGATGCCCCATCCCAGGAAATGTTCGAGGTTAGGTTTGAATGGGACTCAGAACAACCTGTACTGTGAAAGGTATCCTTGCCCTCAGCAAGGGGTTTGGATCTAGATGATTTTTTAGATCCTTTCCAAACCAGGTTATTTTATGATTCTATGATTTCTTAAGAACCAAAAGGTTCTATAGGCCTTGAAAGAGCAGTATAATATCTTCAAACAGATATTATGCATGTGTTACATTAGTCATAAACACCATGCGTAATGGTAATTCCTTAGAAACATACAATTAATTTAGCATCTCTGGCAAAACTTTTGAAGAGTTGAATTGACAATGGAATTATTATCAATCTCCAGATTTTATCATTTTTAAAATTATAACTCAAGAGATCATTCTGCTTTTAAAGTAGTAATAGACCACAGACTTGATGATTTTGCAGGCTAAGGTCTAGAGAAAGTGGTATTTTCAGAGAAGGATATGGCTATTAAAACCTAAATACAAAAAGTATACTAATGTGCAAACAAAAGAGCTTGCCAAATTGCTCAAAGAGAATAGAAGGCTTTAAAAACTTTCCTCCTGAGGGCCATTATCTTGCTTTCTATAGTAACTTCTGTCGTCACTGCTTTATTCCCTTGCTTACCAATCCTCCCTTCCTCCATCCTCCTCCCCCAAGCTGAGGTTTTTTTAACCACATATGTTTCCATAAAATGCCAGATAGTCTCCCTCCTGCCAAAAGAGTGATTAAAAAGGGTAAATGTCTATACTTATGCATTCTTGTTGTTCTGAGAACACAAGTTTTGCCTATATATAAAAATGAATGGAAAGACCAATTGAATAATAGTAATATGGGAAATATTAGCCTTCTTTTGCTGTACACACTTAAAACCAGATGACTTTTCCATTATTTCATGCTATATCTGAACTTCTCCTTATCACCCATGTCTTTAGTGTTTGTCCAAATTTTTTTGTATCTCCACCAAAAAAGAGAAAAGCAGAAGCCTCATGTAAGTTGCTGGCAAACACTTCTGTCACTTTCACCTCAAGCGTAAGAACCAGACTGGCCAGATGGCAAGGCCTTTAAAGGTGCGAGCTTCATAGTAGTTTCCACTGATTTCAGAGGGACCTCTATATATCTAGCATACTTCACACATTTAGGTCAAGAGCTACGCTAACAGCTTGACTATGGACATTTGAATAGTCACAGTATAGTCAATGAGACTGTGCCGCAATTATACAAATCCCTGTCCCCTGAATGGCTAACAGTGATTGTAAGACAATCAATCTACACTGATTTTCGAACTGTAAGACAATAAACTTGGTATTTATGTAACAGCCAGAGTGCAGGGAAATACATAACACGGGAAAAAATGTGCCATTATATATCATTATGCTAACTGTACAGCAATCTGGAGAATACAATTCCATTTCAGTATGACATCCAGTAAGCACTTAGTTTCATCATAGACTATAAAGTATATTTTTCCACCCCAAATTATATGATTTTTGGCAGAAAAAGAGACATTAGCTTCCACCTCAAGCTGTCAGAGTTTGTTTTTTAAAAAATCAAATAATTTCCTTCTATTGTAAGCCACAAGGGACAAATCTGGAAACATACAAGGCCAAGTCTGAGTTAACTTACACCCTTTTCAACTCCATTAACTTCAGTGGTATTGGCCACAGTTGTGAGTAAAGTTGGAATTTGGCCCATGGAAATAACTGTGTTTCCAACATGGTTTTGGCTTTTTTCTTTTATTACGCATTTTACAGCCTTTTTAGACCATGTTTCTTTATCTGAGAAATATTTGAAAGATAAAATATAAGTAAGGGCATAATTAGAAATGACCCAATTCATTTCATGCAAATTCTGGCATTCAAAATAATACGCATATCACTAAACTTGAGGCAACATTCTCTTTCAAAAATGGCTTTATTAAATTACACTACATTAACAGAATGCTGTCATTAGCAGAATTTTTCTCAGACACAGAATCACTCTTTATCAGATATGACTTGTTGAGGTGCTCTTGAATGCCAGCAATGCCACAAAGGTTTTCTCTCTATGGGAAATACATACAGTGAATCCAACTCCCAATCCAGTCCAGGTAGTGTTGTGGAAAGCACATAGCCAAAACAACCCAAGATTAAGATGCATGAGCTGTCTGTCTGTCCATGTTGTTCATCTTTGCTGTTTCCATAGATTCTCCAGGAACCGTACATGTCATTTAAACACCATGGCTTCTCTCTTATTCTTCATTTTTTCCTGTACTCCAGAGCTGAGAAAGCAACAGAAACAGCCTCATAGAGAAAGTTCTGGTCCCAGTGCAATGAAACTTTATGTTTGGGACTGGTTTTGACCACTACTTTTGTCATAACTATATAGAACATTAAAAAAAAAAAAAAAAAAAGTGAGATTTTATTATAATATCTCAGTTTTCAAGAGTGTTTCAAGAATCTCTTTCTCTTTTCTAGTAGTGTGATTTTTTTCTACAAAGCAACCCTACATCCATCTAGGCTAAAACTCCAGAACGCACTTGTTTTTTCAATTCCTCCTCTGCAGAATTTAACAGAGCTTCAGACATAAATTGCTAAAATAATCCTTCACAAACTTCAGAGATCAAGAAGATTTTATCAGATTTGTGTAGCCATTTGCTTTTCAATTTATTAGCAGTGTAAGAGACCTGTTAACCTACTACTGCCTGTTCTTAACATTTGCAGAAAGAGACCTTTTCTGATCCATTGTGGCAGTGAATGTTTGTGTTTCTTCTCCTGTGTCTTGGAACTGGGCCCACCATAAATATAGTAAACAGAGTCGCTTTCCCTGAGGGTTTCTCTGAGTTTACAATCTTATTGTGTTCTTTACTCAGCACACTTCTTTGGTTTAAATAATCTTTCTACTGCTGCCAGGGTTTTGAAGGTGGTGGTGAGAATTTCATTAATTATATATCCTCTAACAAATACCTACACAAATGTCCTTATAATATCATTGAAATTAGCTGCCAGCTAGTAGCATAAATAGATCAAATGGGGGATTAACTGAAAATAGATTTGAGATCTAGGTTTTAGAACTCCTGAAGTCATCTTATTTGCTCAGGAGAGAGATTCTTAAACATTCAGTTCTTCTATGTAATGTAAGCATGCACATCTAACATTTCTGGTTTTCACAGGTCAAAGATTCTTGCTCATGACTGTATAAATTTTGAGGAACAGGTATCAAATTCTGGTCCTGAAAATCACCCAGATTTTAAAAAAAAACCCTCAAAGCACTAAGTACAAAAAGTCTCTTTCAATATTTAGAAATATGGCAAGGACTTCCCTTTTTTAATTTCAGAGTAACTGAAATATGTTATATATTAGTGTATAAATACACATCATAGAAGAGATTCACAAATTTTGCTTCTTTTTACTTCATTAAATCATCTGAATATTTTTCAAATATTATAGAAATTCTAATAAAATCTAGACTGTCTCCTGTGCTGCTGGGCTTAACCTACCTCAAAATAGTTGGTTGTAGAACTAGAAAATAGTACAGGTGTTTGGGATCTTGTTTCACTTTTCCCTTTTAAATGTCTTACATGATGAAAGATGATTTAAGGAAAGTTAGGCAGATGCTGGACTTTGTGACATAATTTTACCAAGAAGAATGAGTATGCTAAACAGAAAATTGTGTAATATGACGCTTAAATACACTTTTAACAGTTACAAAAAAAGTGACAAATCTTCCTGGGAAAATAAATTGTTGATTTTATAGCCTTTAGGCTTACATTGGAGACTAGGGGGTGAGTTGCCTAAAAAATTACTCGAGCAAAAGGCGGAGAGTTACAATTTCTTCATTTATGATACACAGAACCATTTTAAAAGAAAGTTGAATCTTTACCATGAGGTGGATCCATTCTTTTCCTTTAAAATTTTCAAGAAAAAAAGTAATCCAAACCAAAGTGCCATAACAGTGAAGCTCCCTGTTAATTTTGCTGCTGCTCAATACTGTGGAAAAGAAATCCATTACATCTCAGATTAGACATCTTGGCTGCAGCAGCATAGGATTTCCCAGTGGTCTTCAATTTGTGGTCCGTCAGGAGTCATCTGTCAGCAAGTCCTTTTTGCTAAAGAATCAGAGCAACACCATTGTGCCAATAAAATAAGTAGTGGATTTGAGATGCAAAGACTTGGGGGGGAAGGGGGGAGAAGAGAAGAAATACTGATAAAACCATTTATAGAGTGCACTTAAGACTCACTTGAAAAAAGTTTCAGTATGCATTCCCTGTGCATTTGGGGTAGGAACACATCTGTTATGGTCAAAGTGAGGAGAAATCAATGGTTTACAGAAAGTGAATGAAAATAAACCAAAAGATAACCAGATTTTTTGAGGTTTTATTCACCTGTCCAGAGCCATCTTTCTTGCTCAATGCTTCTTTATAGCCCTGAGACTACAGAGGACACTCTGAGGAAGACAATAATTTTGACCTAACAAAAAATTTTTTTAAAAGTTGTATGCAATCACCAAATAATGCATTAAGTGGGGAGGTAAAAACAACATGACAAGAGCGATCATTATGTGTACCAGCATAATACAAAACTGATGAAAGTGATGTTTTTGTGAAAGGGGGAAGGGAAGGGAAGGGAAGGGAAGGGAAGGGAAGGGAAGGGAAG